AATAACAGACAAGTGGTACACAAGCATACGGCCCGTCTGATGGTTTCTTATTCAATGTCAATACATAGTTGTTTTTATATCGATCATCCTCACTCCGGAGTGGCCCGGGCATGTCCCGGCGAGTGATGACGTCACGTCAGGTTTTGATCTCGAATTGCGACGAGTCGCGGCCGCATCCCGCCAGCCCGCAGCCATTAGACAGGGTTGCCAGCTTTTATTAAAGAAAATATACTATTTTTGTTTTTAAATCAATACAACTAACATACGTTTTGTTTTACAAAATTTTCCAAAAGTAATTACTTTAGTTCTAGCTAGTTGTAGTTTTGGGAAAAACAAAATATACTATTTATGTTTTTAAACCACTAAAACTACCATACGTTTATAAAAATTCCCAATAATAACTATTTTTGTAACTATAGTAGTCATTTTTAGGAGATTTTGTGAAGAAATCATTTATTTTGTTAACTAAATATTACTACTGTATGCTGTGACACTGACAACTGACAAGTGTGACAAACAACAGATTAACACGTTAATTTCATTTCGAAATTGTCTACATCATATGCTAAGTTTTTTTTTTCACGAAATTACCCAAAAGTTGTAAGTAGTAGTTTTGGGAAATTTTGTGAAACATAATAAAACCTACTGTTTATTTTGACAAATGTGACAAAAGATCAAAGCATAAATTTCTTTCTAAAATTGTCTACAATATTTGCGGGTGTGTTATAGCTTACAGTTAATATAAAAAATCGCGACAATTTAATATAATAGCAAATATAATGTAGTATATATTTTTTTCCTGTATTATATAGTGAAATTGGTCAAAATATTATATACTATATATTACAGTTCTGGTGGGAACCCTGCAGGTGGTTGCGAGCGAGCTGTGGTTAATAATATATAGTGCTATTGGCTGAAATATGAATGTATACTATATGTTAATATTATATTATATATTCTCGGGGGAGCGTCCGCGGCGCGTCGCGTGATTCCATCGTAGATTAACATTACTTTACCATTTGAATGTCAATTGATATGAAGACGAGGCGGCGCGAGGGTCTGTGTAATATCTGGGGACGGATGCTGGGGGCGGATGGCTGGGCGGATGGCTGGCTGGGCGCTCTCTCGTCGTTCGTACGGTTCGTATCGGTTGTACCTATTGTAGTTGTAAACCTATGTTAGTTATAGCGGGGCTAAACGTTTTGTTATTCGTATATTGTGTTACAAATGAATGTTACAACATAACAACATGTGGTGCGAGTGATTCAGTGAATTTAACGATAAAGACATTTAACAAATTTTCAAATTAATATGATAAAAGTACTAAGACTTTTTTAAAATCGCTTCGATAAATATTATGTATGTACATAGTGTTAAGTTACGTAGAGTTTAAGCGCAGACTTAGATGTAGTAGGTATAACAAATTGTAAGGCGGAGGCGCGCGGCGCCGGATCTATTGTTAACATTTTTCTCTTTAGTCGTGTTAATTTCCATTTTTTTATTTCTGCTGCGGTTTCGTTACTGGTGTTTCATTGTTATCGAGCAGCCTGTGAGCGTACTGCGAGTCGGAGCCACAAGCACGAGATCGCCCACGTTACCCACGCCACCAAGCGCCACCACGCGGCATCACACGCCACCAAGCGCCACCACGCGCCACCACACACTACCAAGCGCCACCACGCGCCATCACACACTACCAAGCGTCACCACGCGCCATCACACACTACCAAGCGTCACCACGCGCCACACACACTACCAAGCGTCACCACGCGCCATCACACACTACCAAGCGTCACCACGCGCCATCACACACTACCAAGCGCCACCACGCGCCATCTCATACTTCACAAGGCATCACCACACGCTATAACACACTACCACGCGTGACAATATCTATATTTAATCATAATATATTTATTCATGTAGGTATATTATGAAATCTTATGATATCTCAAATCTACTGTCAGTTCGGAGTGCTTTCGCGCTAAGAGCTTTTCAAATGAGCTTGTACCTACATGATTACAAAAATATAGATTCATTTTTATATTTTCAATACAAACCAAGTGCCATTAAATTATTCTACTAGATGCCACTTATTATATATAATATTACCAATAATGCCACTTATTAATATTTTACGGAGTCAGCTAGTTAATATATAATAACTCAAAGGACCAACATTTTTAACACACATTACTGTAGTTTTTTTTCGGACTACTCTAATGCTGTTGGCCGCAGCTGGCCTTCACAGCTTCACCGGACGATAGGGGTCGAGTGCAGATGGCACTTCAAACCAAGAGTGGAATACAAGCCAGTTATTTGTCTATAACCTATTTTATATGCTTCATATTTCGAATACCAAAATTCTATTCTAAATTGTCGCTGCTATCTATTGTTTCTTTTCGGTTTCACTTCCTGGCCCTAGTTAGTAGTATTTCTTTATAATATACTCTTATAATAATATATACAATATATATATATATATATCCTACAATTCCCTGATTTCCTTTATCGCCCACACCATGGAAGGACTTATGGAGCGGCTGAAGGCCAACTCCCGGCAGACGGATACGACTAGTCTGACGGCACCGCTAGGGGTTCGAACCTCGGCTCAGGCCGTCGTAATATCGATCCCCGTTTGAATTGGATGCGGAATCGATCGGAGGGGCATTACTGCAGTGTACACAAAACATTGTCATAAATACACATATATACATTTTATACACAATTCCAAATTATTTATCTCGTTTTTAAATATATTGTGGTGTTTGGAAACGTTGGCGGTCAACTCGGTACCATTTCTATTATTGTTATCTCAATTGGATTTCTACAGAATATGCAACGGCCAATATTAAGAGTTTCGTGAAACCTGTTGTTAATAAGATAGACATTTTAACTGTAACTATTTGTAGTTCAGTTTAAATAACTATTATCATTGCATATTGTGTAGTTGAGCCGTTATTATAATACTTATCGCAATTGAACTCATGTGGGTGGAAATAGACAAGTATTGGTCTGACGATAGATCTGTTGCATCCAATGATCTCTTTCAAATGAACCGGCGGTAGCGTCGTATGTTTTGAATAAAATGGCTAAGTTTCAGATGGAGAAAGCCACTCGCTTGTCTGTTTCAATCCTTTGGTTTTGGATGTAACTGTGCGATTTTTTAATGTTTCTTTTATAGTTGTTTACTGTCACTGTATCGGTCAGTGTTGCCAGTGTTATTTTCTCGTTTCGTTATGTATTATTTTGAGCACAGTTGCGTTCAAAGTCGTCCCTTGTATAAAATGGAGGGCTCGCAGTTACGTGTAAGTTTGCAACAATCAAAGGTGATATTATACAAGATAATTTATATTATGTTTTTATATATTGAATTAACAATCGTAATAAAGAGTGAGCAATGGCACATCTAACCGTAGTTTTATTCTTCACATGTGTTTGTGACGTCAGCCTTACGGTAGGTATACATCCAGTTTTTTATTTCCTCAACTGAAGATATGGTAGAAATGTTAAGTATCAGTATATGTATATATCTCAAATCTTATATTTATAACTAGCTGTAACCGCAACTTCGTCCGCGTGGAATTTATCTTCATTTTTCTAAAATAAAAGTAGCTTAAGTTACTCCTTATTACATCAGCTACCTGCCAAAAAAGTCCCGTCCAAATCCATTTCAGAGATTAGGCGGAACAAACAGACAGAAAAAAAACAATGGAACACATATAGAGGATAAAAAGAATAGCCCAAAAGGATGTCGCCACAAAAAAGCGGCAGAAAATATATAATTAAAAAAAAAACAGACAATAATAGAAAAAAAAATGATATTTTGGTGTATGTATCGTATTTATATACATATGCATGTAATAAAAACGGTTATTTTAATATTACAAACAGCTGTACTCGCGACTTCGCGAGCACATCTAGTATCAGATATAATACAACACCAATACATACTAGCATATCCTAATCCACTGAAAACTTGAAATTAAACACCATGTACTTAACGAATAATTTATTGGGAGTTTTCTATAATTTAGTAAATTATACAGTTATTTTATAATTGGTTTCTACATGAATATGGTATATAAGTAACACAGGCATATCCTAATCTCAATATTTAAAGCAAGTTAAATCTAAACTCCAAATATAATAGTCTCATATGGGCAAATTATTTATATGCATTATTTCTTAACATTAAATAACTAGACAATCGATTGTTAAAACCGAAACACTTAAAAATTACATTACTAAGTCTGTAATTGTGTATAAAGCATTTTTAATGTGAAACCTCTATATAAACTGGATGATATTGTCAACATGTACAACATTTATTTGAAATTAATAAATGAATATAAGCTGAGTTTCTTGTCAGTTCTTTTCATCTTGAAATCATTCCGAACTGACGGTAGATTTGACATGATATGTCGGTATGATTTTTCGGTCACGAAAAGGCGTTACCAAGAGGACAACGACAGCCGACAGATTCCGTGGAGTCGAAAAGGGGGAAGAGAAAGGCTAGTGGCGGCTCCGTTGCGATTCATATTTTATTCGATAAAGCTTTACTTCTATCATGTGTCCCAGTACACATTCTTTTTCTTTTATTACAGATGTGGCAACCAAGCATACGGCACATCTGATGGTAAAAGGTTACCGTAACTTATGGATACTAATGCAATGCGTGAAATTGTTACTATATTAATAAAATAACGTCTTTAGTCGTCTTGTATAAAACATTCTTTTCCTCGTCATTACATTGCTATATGTCGCAAATTCTATTAACACATGAGTATACTCATAAAAAGGATCTGTACTAAACTGAGTCAATTGGGAAGGTATAACTTACAAACATTTTCTCAGTAATCGCTATAGACGTAGTATATAAGCAAAAAAGAAACACGCCGATCCGGTCAACAAGGCACTAATTGTGCAAAAACAAATTCCAATTGACACCGGATTTACACCAAAAATAATGTATAGTTTTATATGCAAAACATTTAGCACCATTCTCACAAGTAATATTGTGGCATGTAGGTATAAAATACGATTTAATAATGTGATTTCACAAGTCTATATATAAAATACTTGTTTACATTGAAATATGTTTGCTACGAACACTTTGATGGAACAGCGGTGTAGCGAAGCTAAATAAGAGCCTATAATAGCATCTAATTAAAACAGAGGTCAGATATAAAATGTTAAGAAACAATGCAACACTTCAGGTCGGTTCGTCTACTCAACAAAGATCATCATTTTCATTAAAAATAGATACGTTATAAAATAAAATTAGGAATAGAGAATCAGTCCACTTTGTACTTAAGGAATAAAATTACGCAATAACACTATTCACTTGCCCTTCGTGGCTACACTGAAATATTTCAATAATGTTCTACTTTTGCTTTTGGGCGTTTTCTCTGTGGCGGAATTGCGCCGCGCTGGAATATTCTCCATCGGGCTGAGTGGCGCACTCGCGCTCACTTTATCTACCTCTACGTTCTTCCCCTTCTTCTCCCGGGACATAAGCGTTAACCAATCTGTTTCTCGTTTCTTCCTCACCGGAGACATTAGCCTCAAATGCGGCGCTTCTCCGTCCAACACGAAATTGGGCAGATTCTTTGTAGGTGTAGTGAATGATATTATTCTAACTTTACTTGGAGACACTTTCACCGGAGACCTGTGCATTTTGCTAGGCGATATAACCTTTGGACTCTTAGGTGACAGAATTTTACAAGATTTCTTCTCGAAATTCTTTGTCGGCGTCATAAACGAGGTACCTGGTGCGGCACCCATATAACTCCAGTCATTCGACATAGAACAGTAAGGGTCTGAATCCACAGCGCGTCGTTTAACAGGACTCGTGTATTCGGTACGATCATGGTGGCGTTTGACTCCCGCTGGCATCAATTTTGTATCTTCTTCAGGAATAGTTGGTATGTCTAATTTGGACCTTTTTACAACAGTATCCGATTCCTCGCCATCTTTGGATGCATTCATCAGATCGGTCAGGCATCGCTTCGTTTTCCTGGCGGACAAGATATGCGTTCTCGAACGTTTCGCACTGTAAGAATTCGGAGTCGTGTTCAGCTTGCGTTTCAAGGAATTGGGAGTCTTGTCCAATGAGCCCCATTGCGGCAGACACGCGACTTCCTTGCGAGGCACGTTTTCGGCGTGTCCCTTCAGCTCTACATCTGGGTCGGGGAACTCAAGACCGATCCTCCAGATCTTGTGCCTGGCGTCGTCGCTGCATGTCACTATCTTAGTGTCTCCGTGGCGACACCACGCCGCGCACGTCACTTCCGCCCAGTGTCCGACTAGTTTTGCGATCGGTTCTGAGTATTTAACGTTCCAAATGTACGCATTCTTGTCGCTGCTGCCGCTGACCAAGTACATGCAGTCGGGGCTGAGGCTCGTTTTGATATAGAACGTACTATTCTCGTGCCCTATGTATCTTTGCTCTGGCAACGCGTTGTATGTTGATATGTTGAAACAGTATATAACGTTGTCCATGCAACTTGCGTAGAGTCTCGTTTGGGCGTCGTCTATTATAAGATTGGTGTAACCGTTCTTAGTCGAGCTGCCGCAGTAAGGTATCGAGTGTTTAGGTAGCGGTTCTCTCTTATAGATATTGTAGTTTTTACGCAAGTCCCACACTTTTATGTTTCCGTCGCATTCGCCGCAGGATATTAATGTTAAATCATTTTGGAAGACCAGCCCCGTGATGCTGATGGCCCTTTGGTGGTCGATACGTGGCCTCTTACTATGCGAGCCTGGAGTTTTGGGAGTGAAGCTGGAATGGCAATTCATCAGACAGTTATCGGGTTTGAGTATGACGGTGGGTTGGCTGCTGGTCCGGATGTCCCAGATGAGTATGTGTCCGTCCCGAGCGCCGGTCGCGAACACAGATGGTTCCGTAGGACGGAACACTGCAGTTTTCACTGATCGCGTATGACTTGAAAATGTCTGATCGAGCTTTGGGGTCCCGTCAGACAGATCCCAAAGACGTGCTGTATGATCACCTGAAAACAAATGTATCACAAATTCATTAGGAATCAAAAAGGGTTAATGAGTAATGTTATCTGTTGGTTTCACAGCCATTACATATAGCAATCCAAAATAATGAGACCGCTACTATACTATAAGCAGTGGGGATCAATGGCATAGTAGCCATTTTTAGTTCGAAAAACGGATTTAGATGGCGTCATTGGTATCGAATGTAATTCAACATTGTTTTGTAATCGTTTAAAACCCAAAACTATGTTTTTAAAAAGGTTTAATCTATTTTTAAAAAGTCATATATAGATGTTAAAATGAAATAATGCGTTTTGAAAAGTAATTTTCATATATTTACTCATTTTGTTGTTGCCCTGTATTTGTTTACAATTTAATCATTGCTAATTGGGGCTTATTGTTTCCAAAATACTTTCATAGATGGCGCTGTTTTCATTTGTATCACCGTATTTTAAATGTTTATTTTATATTTTCAAATAATAAGTACTTACTATATTATTATGATAAATTAAACATAAAAAAAGTTTAAGTAAATATAAAACAGCTTGTGACGGTTCGCCTGGTATTCATTTTAGTTAACACCATATATTTTATAGAATTATGATAAAAGAAAATAATAACAATAATTATTTAAAGATTAAGACTTATAAGTTATATAATGGAAATAAAGCAAACAAAACAAAAGAAAGAAATAGTTATTAGTAAGTAATTCTAATGTAATTATCATTCTGATAAACTCCATGATAATTAGGGGGTCGACTGTGACGGTTCGCCTGGTATTCATTTTAGTTAACACCATATATTTTATAAAATTATGATAAAAGAAAATAATAATAATAATTGTTTAAAACAAACAAAACGAAAGAAAGAAATAGTTATTAGTAGATAATTTTAATGTAATTATCATTCTGATAAACTCCATGATAATTAGGGGGTCGACTGTGACGGTTCGCCTAAGTACTCATTTTAGTTTTACGTCATATTTTGCATAAAATGGGCGATAAAAGGAAATAACAATAAAAATGTACATATTAAAAATATTCACTTCAAAAATTGTATTTGATAACTAAACATAGAATAAATTAGCATATATTCCGTTATTTAATTGACAAAATAATTGTAGTAGAAGCATCGTCTTATTTGATAAATAAAATACATAAAATAAGTTATATGTAAAATAGTACAAAATATTAAATAAAATCAATATTGTGTACTTAGCTTTCAACACCAGAAAAAGGATAGTTCGCTATAACTATCTATAGGTATAACATGTGTATCAAAATAAAGCCATTAAAAATTGTTAAATGCATATATGTAAACATGGTTACTAGCAGAAAAGACAATAGGGCGGCATCCTTTTGTGTTCGTCAAAAAGAAGGCCGACAAACACACTATCTACAGATATTACACGTGTGTTAAAAACAAAACTATTAAGAACTGTTAAATATTTTTCTGTAAACATATTTACTAGCAAATAGGACAATAGAACGGCATCCTTTGTGTTTAACAAAAGAAAGCCGACATGCATGCATAGGATGTTCCAATTTACTACGTTGTAAGAGATCATGATTTAAATAGATAAATAGAAAACGACTTCTAAGGAATTAATTGTATTGAAACATTAGTTCAGGTTTTGATAATAGAAAGGAATTTATTAGAATTTCATAAAAACACAGTATGTAAAATAATAGTATCAACAGAATGAGCGGTTATATATGAATACTAACGTTTATCTAATTATAATGATTTATTAAGTAAATTATAAATTACATTTTTATTTTATTACAGACTTTAATATTAATTACATATTATATATGTGTTTGCGATTTATTATAATGTTATATCAGCATTAAATTAATAAACAAGTAAATATATTATGTAAACTCGGTAAATGGTTGTTTATATTTTATATAAGAAAAATATTTGTAAAACAAAATAAAATTTAGGATAAAGAAAAGTGTTACAAAATAAATTTAAAAATCATCCTGTATAATTAGTGTGAAATGCCTAAGAACGAAGTTCTCACGTTGAGTTATGTTTAGATATATATATTTGGCAAAAACAAAGTCGATAGAAGGTTGTTAGGAAGGATGAAGAATCAAAAGAAAGGTTAGTCGTCGGCGAGCTTCCGTAGGAGTAACAAGTGTATATTTAACTTTTTTACTATTCGTAAATGAGGAGATTTTAGTAAGTGATTTTAATACTTTAATATCCGTTCTTGTCAACATATTGGTAAGTCATTTTAATTCTTTCACTTTATTTATTGTGCTCATAATATACTGTATGTCTGTTTTCATTTGACTGTATTATTGGGATATGTTAGATAAACTGCCAAGTTAATTAGGAAATGTACATGTGTTTATTTATTTTATGATTTGCGTGGAATTAATATGTTGACGAATACATTGATTTAGTTTAATTACTTATAATATAAAATTTAACGAGCATGGTTTATTTGTGTCTTTCTTATATTACGATAATAGTCTCAATTTGTACCTAAATCTGAGTTATATTGATTTATTTTCTTTAGTTAGGTTAAAAGGTTAGGAGTTTAATATTAAATGTGTATATTTACTCGTTAGATGCTAATGAATGTAATTCTGTTTTTTAACAGTTGTTGATAACTCTGATATTTTATATGAGAATTATATTAATAATAAATTTACTACGACTAAACTAAAAGTAAATTAAGGAAGTTATAGTAAAACCCTATTATACTTATAATGATGGCTAATAATAGTTCAGTTACTTATCAAAAATAAATATTTCATTCACTTATTTCAACTATTTATTACTTATTTCAAATATTTCATTATTCACACTAAATGTCTTGCTGTGTGGTGTTCCTTGTTTGGGATAGTAAATTACGTTTACTATTTCGAATATGTAGATATTGCATGGTTAATATTTAGTACATGTCTATATTACATTACACGGAAGATGTAGTGAGAGGAAGATCCTTGAGTCTTATATATATTTTTGCTGAAGGCTTTATTAGAAGGAGGCAAATGTTTGTATCGATGAATAAACTATTGAAGTAACATTTTCCAATAATTTATGATGATCAAATGTGAACCGTAAATCTCTATGGAGACTTTAGCAAGTAATTGAAGTTTATAATAATTAGGTTGTGGAAGTTTTTATCAGGAGGAGAGAGAGGCTCAGATCGATGAATCTATGATGAAGTCACATGTTCCATCATTTGAGGAGAGATGGGTCAAAGCTCGCAATGAAGGTTTTAGACCACGATCCCTGTGGAGATTTCTACAACCAGTAGGGACTTAACTTAGTTGATAACACTGTGGTTATCTAGGACACACACCCTAAGTTTTACCGTATGCATGTTGTATGGCCAGTGTATCAATATAGCGATATGTTGCTACTCTGGATATGCAGCATTGTGTGGGTAAAGTTTAGGACGCATTACATTTATTATATTACAACTTATTATACACTGCACAAATTAAATAGATAATTAATAAATGAATTAACCCATACGAAGATTATATACATTCCACAAAAGATGTCGCTTGGGGGGTTCTGGTTACTGAAGGCTTCACTGGAAGGAGGAAAATACTTGTATCGATGATTGAACTATTGAAGTGACATTTTCCAATAGTTTTTGATGATATATTATGATCCGTAAATCTCTATGGAGGCTTTAGTAAGGAAATATAATTTCTGTAATAGTTGTGGAAGTTTTCATCAGGAGGAGAGAGAGGCTCAGATCGATGAATTTATGATGAAGTCACATGTTCCATCATTTGAGGAGAGATGGGTCAAAGCTCGTAATGAAGGTTTTAGACCACGATCCCTGTGGAGATTTCTACAACCAATAGGGATTTCTGTTTAGTTGATAACTGAGTGGTTATCTAGGACACACACCCTAAGTTTTATCGTATGCATGTTGTATGGCTGGTGTATCAATATAGAGATATATTGCTACTCTGGATATGCAGCATTGTGTGAGTAAAGTTTAGGACGCATTATATTTATTATATTACAACTTATTATACATTGCACAAATTAAATAAGTAATTAATAGACGAATTAACCATTGAATATAATTATATTAACCAGCAGAAGCAATAGCAATGCGGTTCACTATGACTTCCTTATAGATATATCTTGCATTTCATAAATAAAGGAATTGCTAAATTATAATATAGAATTATTATATTGAAGTATAAGAATGCATTTATTAGATCACCACATTGAGATTAGTAATATTAAGTGTATATGCACTTAATGTTGTAACAACCTTTATGTTAAATATATTTTATATGAATAGCATAAATTAATAATTAGGGTTGTAAGAGATTACATTAATATATATGTAACTGTGAATATTGTAGGCATTGGGGGGTTTATTAGATGAATTCTGGGAGGTTCCCAGAAGTAGTGAAGGTGAGTGTTAATGCATTCTAAAAGAGCTCTTTAAACCTACACCCGAGTCACAAGTCTCGGGCACCACTTGTGGTTCTCTCCCTGAATCATCAGTGGCCGGTATGAAGGCTAATCGTCATCATAACTAGTGGGTTTAATAAACATGTACATATAAAAGTATAATTGCTAATTAAGCCAGTATTATAATAAACTATATTGTTTCTTATTTAATAAAACTACAATGTAATAATATATAAAATAACTATAAATAAGACATGGGATCTTAACATCTCCAGTCATTTCTATCAATCAACCATTGGGCAATCGGAATCCCATGTGGCGATGCATTATCAAAATTATTATATAATTTTGAATATATTGAAATACAAGACCAACCATATACATATAGATATCGGTAATAATAATATTACATTTTATTCTACAATCAATTCTAAGGAACTTCGGTTCTTTATTAATTAATATATTTAATATTATTCTTCTTGTTCCAGTCAATTCAATAAAATAAAGGTTTATTTTAAGGTCTTTGGCCTTAGTAATAAATACTAATTACTTGAGCGTAAATATTCAGTATAATAATATTAGGACTCTTAGTACTTTAATT